AGATAATTAAACTGACAGAGCAGGCAGTTGCAGAACTGGAAGGGAAAAGAGTAGGCACTTCTGCAGGGGAGCAGAACACGGTTGGAGCAGAGCTTAATGGCTCATCTGAAGCAGAGTTCCCACTTTCCAGCCCTGACCCATCTGATCCCACAAATCCCTCAAACTCAGAGAACGAACAGACAGCTGAAACCGAGGCCCTGAAAGACAACGACGAAACCTCAGAGAGCGATTGTGAAATTATAAATGAAAGAGGCAATCAAAATAGCAGCACTGTGGATGTAGTGCATACTGAGGTCCCTGGAAGGCATGGAGGGCTCAGTGTTACAACTGCACACATAGATAACAGCTTTGAGGAGCTCCCTGAATCCGAAAACAAGAAACCATCTGATCCTGATGAAAACTGTGAATATTTGGATAACAGTTTGGCTTGAGGTATGAAATCCAGGCCCTCGAGCATCTCACTGTAATCTTTTTGCAGTGTCTGTGCTACTGCAAATATGATCAGTGAAACAGTGTGCCGCATGGGTTGATTTTTACATTGATCCATTAATTTTTGTCTAATAAAGATGCTTTTCTGTTAGTTTTGGCCTACAGTGTACCAAAAATGTAAATTACCTAAGGGAAAGAATTTGCAGCTGATGAGGTTTAATCATGTTGATTCTTTGTAATGATTTTAAGTTTCTACATAGATGTAGAATTGTACATTGATGTAACTTACATTAGTGTACCAAAGAGACCAGTGATAATGATTTATCATGTTATCACTAGGCTTCTGTAACATGTGTGGTCCTAGTGCTGGGCTGTATTTTAGTAGTTAGAAGTATCTTTCAAGGATGAAAAATTTGGAGTGATAAAATGGAGAAGCATCTTAAGGGTGCAAGCTTTTGATTCTTTCTCAGTCTGTGTTCTATCTCTCTTTACATATAGTGACTGAAAGTGCATCCTTAGAATAAAATCACTATTCTCTTATAGGAAGTTTCCGAAAACCATTCCTGCATGTATATAGTTCTCTCATTTCAAACCTTTATATCTTCTCAACTGTATGAAATTTTTCCTTTCCTCTCCCAGCTAATCTCATGAAAATACAGGGAATTATTTCACCAGATACTGAGAACCCAATTTAATGAAGCTCTGAAGGAAACATCATCAGAGAAGCCAGAATTCTTGCTGTGAGAAGCAGCAATGCTGTTCCAAAGGAAGGAGAACAGCAAGAGGAGGACCAGTCCACCTGCTTGGCTCTCTCAGTTACTGGAATTGCATTCCTCAACCTACAGGAGCTGGAACAGCTCTCCAGCTGAGTAACGGGTGGTAGATTACAGCCTGCTCCATCTGTGTCCTCCTTTTTGAAGAAATCTGTGTCTTTTTATTTTCTTAGGTTTTTGAATAAGAATAACTTCCTTTCCTCCTCATTTCACCAGTCTGTGGTGTGGTAGAAGGTTTATTTGCATTGTTGTTGCTTTCTTAAACTTCTTCCCTTGATGATGTTTAGTTATAGGAAAACATTCCTTCCTATAATAACTGGGGAAAAGGGAGGCTGCTGTGTCATTCCCTAGCTTGCTCCTGATGCTGGAGCTGTGCCACTCTGCTCCTAGGAAGGCAGCAACAAGGGAATACTTAAGGTTGAAGTTAGCAGCTGTTGGAGAAGGGGAGGTACGTCCTTCCTCTCCTGTTGTAGCATAAGGAATAGTCTCTGCAGCTGTGGAGCTTCTATGGGCCACCAGCCGTCAAGGCAATTTTTCTGCTGGCTTGGGACCTAATTGTCTGTAAATGTTCATTTCTCACGCCTAGAACTTGAAACCAATCAGAGAGAATTAAACCAAATTTAATAAAATACTTCTAATAAAAAGGAAAATCCCTCCCAGATTGAGTCTTTCTTTCACAAATAACTGCCAGCTGCAAATTTTCACAGCCCACTTGTCAGCTACTGAATAAACAGAGTTTATATTAGCAATACTGACAAACTCTTCTGTATATGGAAGATGAGTTAGCAGGTGCTGCCATAATCAAGGTGTCAGAGTCCATGAAGAGTTTTTATTCAGCAGAAGAAAGGCTGTATGTAAATTATTACATATAAATATAAGGAATGATAGTGGGAAGGTGAAAAATGCAGCATGTCTCTGTTCTCATGTATTTTCCCTAGCAGGTGCATTCATGTAACCCTTTGAGTGTCTGTCTGCAGGCAGTAAAGCCACACTCACAGTGCTCCTCAAATATGTTTCCTTTCTCTTTAAAGGCAATTTGACATTGCAGCATTTCACTGATACTAAGCAGCAGCCCTTAGGAACAAAAACCATCTGTATACTTAAGCGTGTTAGGATAGTGAAGCAGTAGAAAGTTTTTCTTTCATTATCCTGATCACCATTTAAGTTCCTCATCACCTGAGAATACAAGAAGAGTTTAAGCATTTGAAAGATTGTTTTGCAGTTCCCATTAATTTTATCTGACTGCATTATTGACTCATTTATACGACTGTACTGTCAAGTCAGAAGAGAAATAGCTGCAGAAACTGAAATCTCTGGGAGAGTGTGGCAGGATTTTTTCCTTTAATGCTTGAATGTCACATGAAGTAGCATTTTATTCAAGATGTATTATTTTCATCTTTCACAGACTAGTCCTGCACAGAGCTAAGTATCAATGCAGTCAGAACTAGCAAGCATGTAAGAAGGTCAAGATTTCACATAGCTGAGCTCTGAAATGTTCAGGTGTTATATTGTTTCCCTGTCCTCTGTGTTCCCTGACCCACAGTTATGTGAGTTGGCGTTTGCTCCTGGTCCCTTAAGAGCCAGTTAATGCTGTTCATTAAGGAAGAGCTTGCTGCAAATATCTGAGCATGTAGAAGTAGTGCTGGACCAACAGCTTTTTAGTGCCTCATTTAATGATTCTTTTTAGTATGTTTTTTTTTCTGTGAGAACATAGTGATGATGTACAAAGCAACAGTTAGGAGATCTTGGTAATTATCCTCACACCATTCTCCCTCTTAGATGCCATTTTTATATCTTTGCAATCACTAAATTACAGAGAGATATCTAGATCTCTGGAAACCTCATTTTTAGTGATGCATCACTACTGCAGTGCTGTCCTTCTCCTTTCTGCCCTAGTGAATGTGTATTCTAGCTACATTTTTAGCCTTCTCCCAGGAACACAAGACTTCAAAGTCAGGAGACTTGTAAAAGTAAGACATCTTTGCTGCACTATGTGATAACTAATTTAACATTCTTGTCAGTATCTTCCTTGGATATTGCTGTAATTGATATTGTTGCACTATTAGAATGATGATTTTTTTTTCCAGTAAATTAATTAGTGTTTTGTTGTGGAATCAGCACTACTTAAAGGTGTTTTGGTTTTGTTTGGTGTTTTTTTTCAGATTTGTGTTCTCTTTGTCTAGGACTTCAAAAATGCAGAAATTGCATCCAGACATACGAGCCTTTTTTGGTGTTGGGCACTGGGGAAGCAAACTGGGAACGGAATGTTGTGGCGGGGGTATGGAGAAGATGCATTTTGCAAATAGTTTTTAAGGAGGTTGTCTCACCTGAAAGTGAATTCACACATTATCTGTGAGAAAGATTTCATTTGACAGTACGATGTTGTGGTAATTTGAAAAACAATGTTCACTGAATTTGTAAAATAAGTGTGTGAAAATGTCAGACTAAGAAGCATCTTTTAGAATGCTGCTTCTTTTCTAAGTAAGACTAATTTTAAGCATATGGGAATTTGTATAATAAAGACAGTGGAATTTCTTTAATCCGTATGAGCTCAGGAATGTATTTCAAAATCTTAATTGAGATTAAGTTGAAAGTCTGCTACATTAATAAAAGATAGGATTTTGTTTACCAGCTTCTGTTTTGTAGTTTTACTTTCTAAATTATGCAGTTTAATTTATTTGCAAACATCTTTTGTTGCTGCCTGGATTAACTGCACAACATGATTCAACTATATTAATACATTTTGTCATCTTTAATAAAAACATTTCCTGATAAGCTTGTTCTACCTGCTTGCTTCCTTTTCTCTTCTCAGTATCAGATAAATGATATTCATGAGTAGTGTTTTAGTATTTTCAGTGAGTTGTGTTAAATTAAAAAGGTAAAGCTTTATTGAGTGAGAATTTTAAGTTTGAAAATTATCTGACTTAAATCTTTTCACTGTCACTTCTCCCAGTCTAAATTGACTTCTGACATTTTTTGTATCAAGAAACACACTCAGTATTTTTTGGCTTTGAAAATAATATTTATCTCTGATCTGCTAACTTTAGCATCATTATCTAAGCAGCAGTAAAACTTTTGTATACAACCTAGTTACTAACAGGCACAAACTAGAAGCTTTAGGGAGTTTTTCCTGGGGAGTGATGGTAAACTGGAATATTTCTTTTAAGTCTGGTTTCAGTAGGACTCAGCTATAGCCATGTGAATTTTAAAATAGTTAAGAAGCTTATACATGTTTGAGAATAAAACCTGAAACTACAAGGAGAATAACATAAAGGATATAAAGTTTAAAACAGAAATATCTGTAATTTCACTTATTTTTAGGGGAAGTCCATTATCTCGGTCTTGCCAAAACAACAGCCAAAACAGTCGAAAGCATAAAGATCTTTTTACCTTTCAGATTTGCAGCTAAATACAGGATAGTATCTAACAAGAGGCGGTTTCTTAGTTATTTCCTTTTTTTTTCCTTTGGTATCTAACTTACAATCCCTTAAGAGTCCCTTACAGCACACAGACTCTTTACAGATGATCAGCCATATCCTTTAGCACTCTTACATGCATTCAACTCCCAAACTGTATAAAAGGGAATCTTTTCTCTTCAAGAAAATATATCACAATGTTGAGTTGATGCTGTTTTTATTGATGGGCTTACAGAAAAGAGGCTCTACAAAGTGATACACATTTCTCAGAGGAGCAAGCAAGTGGAAATGGGAATGCTTTAGCCATATATCTTCATGGCCGGTGGCACAGCCTAAGGTACATTTGTGCTGCCCAGGCTGTAGCTGGCTTGCTGGTCTTCACTTAAGCCTGGTTTTCTGCTCGTTTGTTGAGCCCTCTCTTCTTCTTGTCTGTAACCTCAGACAGTTTCTCTTCCCACAAGTTCTTGCTGCATATCCCGATCACGCAGCAAGCCAGCCGTTTCCCAGCATTTCCATTTTCCAAACTGGCCTTATTGTTGCCCTTGCCCATGTCGTCTTCCTGCTCATGGACCACAACGGATCTGCCCATGATTGAATATGGACCAAACATAGTGGCAAAGAGATTTGGTTTGTATTTTCTGATTTTGCCTTCTTTAGGAAAAAAGTTGCCAAAATCCCCTGGGTGACGGGGGTGGTTCACGCTGAAAGGGTTATAGTGTCCTCCTGTAGCATCACAGCCGTTGCTGAGATCCCCAAGCTCGTGGATGTGTATAGCTCTACCAGATTGATTATTATCCAACGGAAACCCATCCAAGTAAAAAATGGCTTCTAATCTTCCGTATGAGTAACACTGTCTGAATAAGACTTGTCCAGTTACTTGTGGCTTGTCAGCATCTATTTTGGAGCTGGGCTTCATTTCACAAGTGGCGTAAATCATCCCATCAGTCTCATTACCAGGCATTACTGGATACAGCAAATTCTGCCAGAGGTCGTTCACTTTTTTCTGTATGTCATGAAATGACTCTTGGCTTGGACCAGTTTCCTTGTCTGTCATGACACCAGAGGCAGACAGGGCAAGCCCAGTGACCAGAGAAAGAAGCAGAAGCATCTTGACAATTCAGAGCCTGCAAAAGGTGTAAGAAGCTACAGAGAATTAAGGGCTTTTTGCAACAGTAGGGCTAGAGAGAAAGGCACGCAGCCTGTGGCAGGGCTGAGCAAAACAGCTGAAGCGTGGTCCCAGGGGACTGCTGCTTTCTAAATCTGTCTAATGTGATGAATTGAAATTAAATCAGAATGCATACGTATGTTTAAACACATACAACTGACACCCATGACAGAGAAATACTAGTGATTTTGTATTTCACACTAGATCTTGATCTTAAAAACTGTCTCTCTTTTCCCCAAAAAAGCCAAAGTGCTATTTAATCTATTTTTGAGTTTGTACTGAGACTTTTCTCCTACTACAAATTCCAGCAAGATAGTTTGCCAGGAAGCTTTTTTTACTTAACCACCGGTTAGGCATTGTAAATGAAAAGTAAAAATTCAACAAGCTGATTACCTTGCAGAGCTGCTGGTGACCCCTCAGTAGTAGCTCTTTGCCTCTGCTCCCCTAAAACGAGACGTGATCAGACAGCCAGCCAGAGCTGTTTAAAGTTGATGCTTATGGGAACTGCGTGTTTGTGTAAAAGTTAGGTAACGCTGGCTCAGGGGAGGCGTCACCGGGAGAACCGTGGGAGGGGAGGGAGGGAGTGGGGAGAGAGAGGGGAGGAAAAAGTTTTAGGCATTTTCATTTTGGGCAGGCTGAGCACTTTATCCTTTCTTGGTTAGTTTATTAGTCTGGCTCTTGCTCCTCGCGGACATGCCAAAATAAAGGGAAAAATGTTAACAAGCTTTTAAAAGAATCTTCCTTTTATGACTTCATGTGCTTATCTAAAACAAGCGACCTTCAAACCACAATGAGGGGAGAGGAAGGAGCTTTATCAAGGCACAGTTGGGCAGTTTGCTCACTCATGTGCTGGTTGTCATGGAGCTGGTTTGCATTTTTATTTCTTCATTAGTCAAAATTAGTCAAATTGGTCAAGTGGTGCTTGAGCAACATAAACCGTTCCACATGGACATACACCAAAGTTTCTGTGGTTTTAAAACCTGAATTCAAACTGTAGATGCTGAGGTATGTTTCAGCGATGCTCCTCTGTGAAGTTTTAGGGCTAGTTAGTGTCTGCTCCTTTACTCGCCAAGTTATCTGCTCCACTGGAGCTGTTTTTTCTTCTTTTTCGGAAACAGCAGTGATTTCTTTCCAAGGAGAGGAGTAAGCAGTACTGAGGCAGTGCAACATCAGACTGAGGCACAGAGAAATTGTTTCCCAGAAGCTGGCTGGAGCACGGAGAGTTCGCATGTGTTTCATCATCCCGTGAACTGAGAAGCGCTCTTCTCCTGGGGGCATTGCCCTGCCTGCAGCGCTTCCACTGTTGTAGCTGAAATGGGGATTCAGCCATCACAAGAGCAATTTAACAGGCTGAGATTTCTGTAGAGAGAAAAGAGGAGCTCTTATTACTCGGGAACAATTCTCAGCGCAGAAGAATTGCAAAGAAAATCCTTTTTCCCAGTTCATGTCTCCTGCCAACTGGGTAAGGAATGTGACTGTCAGCTTCTGGAATGGTAAAATTGTGTGTGTTAATCTTACCTATATCACCATACACTGCATCAGATCTAACACACTCAGTTATCTGAGGGCTGATTTTTTTTCTTTCTGTATGAGGGAGAGTAGAGCTAAGGGGTGTCCACCACTTGGATCATTATCCAGGGACTGGAAATACGGAGTTAACTTCTGCTTGGGATATTTTGATCTTGAATGTGTTACTTTTGTCTTGGGCTCCTGTTCCTAATCTATGAAATAGGACAACTAGTATTTCTCTTCTTCAGGTTATTTATGTGTTGTTCAAATTACTGTACTCGTGGAAACCATGCAGTGTTCAGTGAAAGCCAAACTCCAGGACAGGGAGCCAGGATTGCCCATCACCCGGAGCCTAATGCTACGTCCTTTGCAGCTTTTCCCGAGTTCATTCACTGGCAGTCTCTGAGCTGGAGATACCCACACTTGTGACATGGTAATACTACGAAATTGCTTGGTTTTGAAGCATTTGAAAGAGGTAAAATGCTTTATAATTAGGTTTTATAAATATATGCAAAAAATTATCAGCTAACAACTAGCCAAATGCAAAGGGGAGTGGTTTAAGTTTGTAAAATGCAAGAAGTGACTGTCCAGTCTAGGTGCTATTAGAAAAACTGTTTCTTGGCATCATAAACCATTTCTTAAGGGGGCACAATGAATGGAAGGAAGAAGGGAGCATCATTGTTCATGGTTTGCTCCTTGAGTCACAAAGTAGTGGACTGCAATTGAGTTTAACACTTCTGCAAGGAAATTTCTGAGCCAGCAGTCGGGGGTCCAAGAAGATAATTTTAAAGCTTTAGTTGACTTATAAGGCATTTTGAAATAAGGACTAGGGTCAGAATTTTAGCTAGTTTAAATATGGTAATGTTGCTGACTTCAGTGGTGTTTGTGCTGTTTTACACCAGCTAGGATTCTGTCCCTGCAAAAAGCCACCCTGAAGAGCCCAAGGTACTTGCTGCAAAGCTCTTTTTTGATGTACTGCACATGCGGGAAGGAAGCAGAAATGCAGAAGGGTGTAAAGGAGATGATCAAAGGGACAGAACGGACTGCAGCAAAGCTAAATGATGTATTTGTAGTGCTCTGCACTTCAGAGAATGAAAAGGAAATACTAGCTGTGGGCTGCTGTCAGAAAGATGTATTTTAAAAAAGGAGAAGGGCTGATAACTACAAGAAATGCAATTGCCAGGGTGATTCGGCATTCAGTCTGGGTCTGAAAGATGGAAGTCATCAAGTACTAACCAGGTGTATCTCTGAAGTCTCTTGTTACCCACTGCCTGTGTTTTAGGGGTTTTTTAAGGTTAAAAAGAGGTACCGAATAATGGATTAACAGCCTTTAAAGCAGACAGCAGTTAACACAGAGGAAAACCCACAGTGACCTGACCATGCTCTTGTACTTGTGTTACAATCCCTGTTTAAAAAACAGACCTCTCCTTTTGTCCCAATTGTACAGGATCTGTTGTGTCCTGAATTTCATGTAGTGTCCTAGAGTCTCCCGGGCTATACAAGACAGAGTTGTCAAAACAACTTCTGCAAGACTCTCTAGACTACACAGAAAAAACAAACTTAGCTTTACTTATGGGCTTTACAATGGACTTTGTACCAGGCTCTGCTCACGAGCTCTCAACCCATGCTATAACCTTCTGGGCTGGCTGGTTGGTTGGTGGGTTTGTTTTGCAGTGACATCGTCCTATGCTGTTTGACTATGACATCACCCTGCTGTTTGACTTAACGTCATTTGCTTTGTCCAGCATAGAGTTAAACGTGATGAAGAAACGCTGCATAAGAGAGCATCCTTTTGTAGCGAGCAGTAGACTTGTTTTGTATCTCCAGCACTTGGATCTGCTCTCAGTGATTTTATGGTAGGATGATCATCCATAAAAATGACACCCAGAGAAGGGAGGTTTTACATCTTCTGCAGTGGGTGATGGAGCTGACTGCTTATCTCCACGCATGGCTGAGGCTGGAGCCTCTAAAAGAAAGGGGGTGTTTGTCGCATGAAGGAAGCAGAGTCAAGACCTTTGGGAACCTAATCTGCTCCCTCAGTTCAGGGCACTTTCTGCCATTTCTGAGCCATGGTCCCAGCCTGGGAGCCAGTTATGCTGGTGGGTCATCAGGCAGCTGCAGGGAGTCCCGGCATTTGTTGGTGTGTGGGATGCAGGGACTGCAGGGCGCCAAAACTTCTGCGCATTGAGTTTGGCATGGGATTGTACGTGCTCTGCACGGCCATTGCCTGTGAGCACAGAACCAGCCTCGCGCGACATCTGGCACGTCCCAGTACCTGCCTGTGGGTCTGCCGGTAAAGCCAGCAGCATGGATTTGCATCTGAAGGGCTACAAGCAGTGCTGCCAAGTTAGACAGGATTTAGAAAGCAGAAATGCTGTCAGGGTGTCCTCGAAGGTGCAGTGACTTTGGCTATTTATTGCCTGTCGTGTTGGCTGACACCACCTGTTAATGTCTAGTGGAGCTCCAGTGCCCACAAGAGAGGGGCTTTGTCCGGGACTGAGGGGTTTAGCCTGCGTGGTGAGCACGGGGCTGGTGCTGCACTGGGAGCAGCACCTTCTTCTGCAGAAATCATAGTGGAAGAACTCATTTGCAATTGCAATAAGGAGAAAAAAAAGAAAATAAAACAAAAAATGTTGCTGTAGCAAAGGGAAAATCCATCACTGGTCCAGGCTTGTGCTTCCTGTTTATTCCTGTTCCTTGACTTGGTGTTGCTATTTAAAGAAATAAAGATATTTAGTGCCTGACATAAACATCCATTTATAATATTCTTGCAAAGGAGCTATATGCACTTCCAGCTTTTGAGGGCATTACCCATAAAAAATCAAGGTAAGTAAATATACAAAAGGGAAACAACACTGTTCTCTCTGGGGAATAATTTCTCTTGAAAATAGAAGATCATGCCACTGTCAAACTAGTCTCCATCAGCCAATTTGAAAAATTCTTGAAATTCTTCCACTTTAATAGCTTGAGATGAAATCATTTTATGAGAGCGAGGGAGAGATGAACTGTAAGTGAGCTTTTTGAAAAAGCTGCATTCAGAGAAACTCATTCTATGTCTGTCAACCTAATTTAACAGAATTTCATTTTCACGTGTGAATATAAAATATAAATATGCAATATAAAATGCAGGCATGGAACCCAACTATTAGATAATTTAGGTTATTGTTAGCATTTGCGTTAATTCCCTGATACTTTATTAAATGTTTACCATTTTGTTGCATAGCATCAATCTGGAGAGGGGTTTGCTGGTTGAGAGAAGAAATAAACAAGATTCTGCTCAAGTTCAGCAACCAATGGCAATAAGTGGAATTCTCTTGATTTTTTTTCTTCAAAGTGTGCATTGCACGCATTGTGCATATTTGCACAACTTTAAAACTGTGTGTGGTTCCGAGTCAAAGAACTCACCACGATTTTCAGAGCCTTCTGTCCCTCTAGTGTATTAAAGACACACAACCATTGACAACGGGCTAGTTCCTGCCTTCTGCTGGTGTACCCAGCGATGCTTCTGTTGTCACTGCTGGGGTGGGAGATGGGTTTGTGGGTACTGACAGCTCCCAGGTGCTTCTTGGGAGCCATAGACTTGAGGGCTTCTACTTGAGTAGGAGGCAGCAGGACTTCGTGGGACCAAAAAGGGGAAGCTCAGTCTCTTCCCATGGGAACGAGCCCCGTCCTGGCCCAGGCTCGTCCCTGTCCTCAGGACCGTGTCAGCAAAGGGAGAGAGGGCAAGTGTGAGCCACTGCATGAAGCAGGGATGGAAGAAGG